TCCAATGATAATCCTCTGTCTCCATCTTCATTGAACTGTCACCAGTATCTGACATAGTTGATCACTCTTTTCTTTAACACGCTTTCTTTGTGTAGCTTCCAGGACACTGCACTCTCATGGATTATTCCTATTTCACTGGCTCTTCCTGATCTCCATGACTCCCATATGTTAGAGTACCTTCTCAGAGTTTTGTCCTTGGACCTTTTCTCTTCTCTTTCTAAACTAACTCTCTTGGAGATTTCATCCAGTGCCACTGCTATACAAGCTATATGCTGATGGTGTCCGAATATGTATCTTCAGATCAGAACTTAGACCCTTAAATCCAACTTCAAACATTACATTTCCATTTGGATGTTTAATGGGTATCTCAAACTTAAATGTCCTACACTGAGCTCCTAATACTCTCCGCCTCCCAACCCCCAACCCCAAACTGCTCCTTTTGCAATCTTTCCCATTCCAGTAAATGTAACTCCATTCTTGCAGATACTCAGGTCAAAACTCTTGGAGTCATCCTTGACTCTGCTCTCTCACACCTCATATCTAATTTGTCAGCAAACAATATTGGCTCAGGCCACTTCTTACCACCTCTTATGCTTTCACCTTGTCTAAACCACCATTTCTCACTTAAATTACTGCAATCGCCTCCTAACTGGTATCCCTGTTTATGCTCATGCCCTCTTACTGTCTATTTTCAATACAGCAGCCAGAATGAGTCTGTTAAAACATATTACAGTTCTACTCAAAACCCTATAATCATTTCCCATCTCAGAATAAAAACCAAAATCCTTCCAGTGGCCTACAAGATCCTGTATAACGTACATCTCCTGTCCCCTCCATCATTATCTGACTGATCTCACTGGTTACTACTCTACTCCCTTCCAACACTCTGTTCCAATCACGCTAGCTCCACTGCTGTTGTCTGAGTATTCCAGGCATGCTTCCATCTCAGGATATTTATACACGTAGTTCCTTTTAGCTGGAAGTTTCTTTCCTCAGATATTTTGGGCTTACTCTCTCAGTTTTTTCAAAGTTCCCTTCTCAGTGAGGTCTTCCGTGCCACTCTATCTAAAACTGCAAACTATCCCACTGCTTTGGCTACCACCACTTTTTATCCTCCTCCTTTGCTTTTTCTCTTTAGCATTGTTTAACGTACAAAAAATAATATATAAAAAACCAAAAATCCAAACCTGTTGCCTTTGAGTCAATTCCGGCTCACAGCAACCCTACAGAACACAGTAGAACTGCCTCATAGGGTCTCCAAGGAGTGGCTGGTGGATTCAAACTGCTGACCTTTTGGTTAGCAGCTGACCTCTTAACTACTGCACCACCAGGGCTCCAAATAGTACAAATGTTATTTATTTAGGTTGGATAGTTTCTGTGTCTCCCATTATAAGGTAAGCTCCATGATGACAGATGTTTTTATCTTTGTTCAGTGATGTATTTGCAGCACCTAGAACAATGTCTAGCACTTAGTAGCTTAGCAAATGCTCAATAAATATTTGCTGAATGAATAACTGAATGAAACATTTTTTAAAAATAATTTCAAATATAATCAACACTAGATTATCTTTGTTAATGCAAGGCAATAGTCTGAATAAATTAAAAAATGTATTGTTTTTAGTTGGAATGTTTTTGTAGTTTCATTTACGTACAGTCATATTTAATGTGCCAAGGCTTCACAAATAGCACTCCAAATTCATTCATCTATTCAACAAATAGTTACATTATTACTGAGATAGAGATCCAGTGACAAATGATAGATCTGGAAAAGTATACTTCTTCCTTATAATCTATCTGCTCAGACTTTTAAGTCTGATAAGAAAAAGACCAAGATGCTTTGGGAAGACAACATGGTAATAGGCTCCGCAAATTTGCAAATATGATCAAATTCACTCATTTATAGGACACCCCTATAAAATATTATCTTAGTTCAGTAAGCCTTAGAAGGAGCTGTGGTGGTGCAGTGGTTAAGAGCTATGGCTGCTAACCAGAAGGTTGGCAGTTTGAATCTACCACCTGCTCCTTGGAAACCCTACAGGGCAGTTCTACTTTGTCCTATAGGGTCACTATGAGTTGGAATCAACTCAGCAGCAATGGGTTTTTTGGTTACTACGACCCAGGTACTGTTTTTGATGCTAGGGATACAGCAATGCACAAAACAAGCAAAAACTCCAACATGTAAGAAGTTCACAGTCTAGTGTTTTGAATAAAATTATTACAATAAACAGCACTGAAATTAGTTTTGCTGAGATTCTATGGTTTCTTACTTATATTGTCAATTACAAGTGTAAGAATCTTCTAAGAAATGGACACATTATTTAAGGGTACTCAAAAGCAGGAGATCTTCCACCATTGAAATTCTGTTGGTTTAGCATTTAATGAAAAATATAACCATTTAATGTACAAATTTGGAAGTTTGCTTTTAGTGGATTCAGAATTTAAACTCAAAATACTGCTAACAAATCTCTCAGTTAATTTTTATTGGCATATTTCTAAACTCTCTGCATTTTGTTTTGGTTGATGACTATATCCGAAAACATGTAAATTTTCCTCATATCCTGTAAAGTAGAAGTTGGTCCAACAAGACTCCTATATCTCAGGATCAGAAATGAATCTCTTATATACCTTTTAGACAGCAGGGTAAAGGCATAGTATAGATTACTAATGATAGCTTGTAATTTATCAAAGTTGCCACTTCTGATGACTCCAGCTTACAGGATAGTCTACAGGGATATACTTTGCTCTACACACAACTGAAAAAACAAATTTAGAATCCCATCACTGCACTCCTTATGCTTGATGAAAAATTTTTACTACTTCCTATTCAATGCCATGGTAAAGTCAACCTAGAAGGTCAGTTAGAAGTTGTTCATCTATTTACAAACCTGCATTTCCACTGCCATTAATAGCTTCTTTGTCTTCATCCTCTTCCTCTTCAGGAAGAGAGCTGTCCATTCTTTCCATCTTGCTGACAGATGTAGTTCGTTTCCTTTGGGATTCTGTGTCAAACTCATTATCAAAGAGGACCTGATCAACCGGATCTGGTTGGAAAGGGCTGGGTTCTGCTGGAGGTTTAGGAGTTCCATAGAAGTTTCCTGAAGTGGACAAAAATAGCAGCAAGTGAAAAGTACTCATGCTGAATTAAGAGTCAGAACATCATGACCTAGCATATCTCTCTGCCCCGTCATCTTATATTGACCTTTTTGAATACCCACCATTGGCCAAAAGGAGACATTACCTTCCTAAAACAAGGGGGTGGGTGAGGTGGAAGGTAGAAAGAGGAGTAAGAAGTAACTTCTCAAGTGCCTATGAAGATGAAAGGCACCATACATTACCTATCATCTTCATACTACTCATACCAAGACCATGAAGTTGACTGTACGTATGTGATTATTTATTCCAATAGGGCTTGTTTTACATGCGTACTGAATCAGGACCTAATTTGTTTCCTTTATGTGAATTTGAAAGCATCAATGCTCTCATGTAAGACTAACTGGTATAAAAGGTGGGAGTAAAGGAGGAGAAAACTAACAAATAATTTTGTTCTAATGTGAAACATAACTACTACTTTAACCAAATGAGGAAATATGTGGGCAGGATAAAAACTAACTAGCTTGTGCTGAAATGAAGGCTATTTATGTAAAGGTAAGTTTAAAAAGTTTTTCTAAGCATTCTAATTGCATTATTTTATCTAACAATTTATTGAACAAATAGACACATTATTAGGATAATTCAATATTGGCTTACTTTCAGGAAAGCAAGAAATAACTTCTACATGTTAAATCTAGAGGATCAGTAATTTCTGCAGCAAAAACAAATATTCCAGAATAGAATGAAAACAATTGAACACCTTCTCAATTTATCATGTAATTCCCATTAGGCATCCAAATACAATGGGAAAGCACATTAACAGTTGCCGGACCTGCTAGTTTTAACCTTATAGTAATCATTACTCTAAACTTATAGAAAGTTCAGTACAGTTAGGGAGGAAAATACTCATGATTTTTTAAAATCCCATCTCAAAGCATATTCTTTTGTTCCTAAAGAGGTCATTAAGATGCTCATTTACATAAGTTAAATCAGTAAGGAAGGTAACTGATTTTTTCCTAGGTGAAAAAAAGCTTACACTGTTCACCGTAACACTGAGGCAAATCTAGAAATAACAGAGTTTACACTTTAAATCACACATGCGCTGAGAGGGCAAGCATTATGATGAATTAGTTTTTGCAAATTTGACTCTCAGAGGTAACTATCATTTAAAATATTCAAGAAAAAACAATGAAGTCAAACTAAAATATTTTCAACTACCTCCTGACTCTCCTTCCTTGCTTCCAAATCCGTGTTTAAAATGGAGTTTACCCCTGTCATGCATATGAATACAAAAATTCTTGTTAAAACAGTCTAAAAGAATCTCTGCAAACTTTCTGGGCCATAAGTAAAGCAAGGAACCAATGAAAGCCAGTTCACACTTCTCTGGGGCAGAGGGCACAGACCCACTCCAAATAGAGATTTGGTTGTTGTGTGCTGTCAAGTCAATAAAGAGCCACAGTGACTCAGTAGACTGCGTAGAACTGTCCCATAGGGTTTCCAAGGCTGTAATCTTTACGGGAGGAGATAGCCACGTGTTTTTTCTCATGGAGCTTCTGGTGGGTTTAAACCAGTGAACTTTCGGTTAGCAGCTGGGTGTTTAACTACTGCGCCACAAGGGCTCTCTAGAGGTTTGGTTAGGGAATAGGATTCTCTGTGATCTCAATTCTTTCTGCATTATGCCCGGTAATCACATTATCCAAGAAACTGGATGTGCCAGGACAGGAATGCAAAGTCCACCTTTTCTAAAGATGGTAGCAATATTACTAAAAACACATTTTACTGAGGATTATTAGTAATTGTTATCTGACTAGAAGTTTAATATTTTTCCTAGGGTGAAAATGAGAAAAATGATACTGTGATTGCTATCCATAATCACTGATAAGATTTTAGGACTTCATTTTACAGTAACACTATCGATTATTAAGTATTTCAAACATATAAAATTATACAGAATAAATATTAGAAATATTCATTTATATGCACATCCTCTAGTTATCAGCTTTTGCAAGATTTCTTCCAGATCTCTCCCCTGCTTTTTTTTCTTTAAGGGACATACATATATGGTCACATATACAATTAAAGCCCTAACTCCGTCTCCATCCTTCCCGCTCCCTCCCTTGGGTAACCACGGTCCTGAAGTTGGTATGTGTCATTTTCCCATGTGTTGTGGTCATCTGGGATATATGTATAAACATTCATAACACATATACACTCAGTTGTTTTCATAAAAGCTGCATAAAGTGTTTTCATAACATTTCATATCTTTTTTGATATACAGTACCATACTGAACATATCCTTTTGCAACTTGTTTTTTTATACAATTGTATTTCTAAGACTTATATTGATTGTGTAGATCCAATTCGTTCTACTGCTATACAATAGTCTATTTCTATGAATAAATCAAAATGTATTTTATTCATTCCTCTACTAAAGGAGAGTTGTTCCATTCTCTCACTGTTTTAAAACAGTGCTATAATGAATATTCTGGTACATTCTACATATGAACATGGGCAAGAGTTTCTCTAGAGTAGACAGCTAGAGAGGGAACTGCTAGGTCAGAGAGTTATGTTTATCTTCAAAAGTACTTGTTATTGCCAAGATGCTCTCCAAAGGGATTGTATCGTCTTATACTCTCAACAGCAGTGTATGGGAGTTTCCAATTTCCCACAATATCAGACTTCTAAATTTTTTGCCAGTCTGATAGGTATGAAATGGCTCCTGACTGTTGTTTTAATTTGTATTTCCTTGAAAATTACTGGAGCTGAGCAAAGAATAATTAATAATGTGTAATATGCCTCTCTGTCATATACCAAGTTCTTAAACTTAATGGAAGAAAATGTAACAGAATATTTTTGTGATCTAATGGCAGAGAAGGGCTTCTTAAAACTTGGAAAGTACAAATCATAAGGAAAACAGTGATAAATCTGATATATAAAAATTAATAATTTTTGTTCAATGGAGAAACACTGGACAAGGTTAATAGGTGACAGAATGGGAGAAGATATCTAAAATATCTAAATCCACTAAGGGATTAATATCTAAATAAATATCAAAATATCGCAGAAATACCTGAAAACCAGAATGTAATGGGAATCACATTTACAAAAAATAGGCAAAGTAAATTAATAGATAATTTTCAGAAGTCCAAAAGACTAGTAAGTACAGGAAAAGATACTCAAACTCTCTGACAATCGGAGAAACTAAAATTAAAATAAGATACTACTCCCACAGCCATTAGAGTGACAAAATTGTAAAGCTGTATAATGTTAACTGTTGACAAGGATATGAGAGCTCAGCTGCTAACAAAAAGGTCAGTAGTTCGAATCTACCACCTGCTCCTTGGGAACTCTATGGGGCAGTTCTACTCTGTCCTGTGGGGTCGCTATGAGTCAGAATCAACTCAACAGCAACAGGTTTGGTTTGGTTTTTGTTTTTATAGGTGCTACAAAAACCCTCATGCACTGCTGGTGGTGATGTATAATGGAGAGCTATCTAACGCTGCTTCATTAGATCAATTATATGTATACAACTCTGATCCAACAATTCTGCTTTTACGTATATTATCTATGGAAATTCTCATACAGGTCAACAAAAAGACGTGTGAGAATGTTCACTGCAGCTTTATCTGTGATGATGGGGTGCTGAAGGCAATCTGAGTGTCCATTATTAGGAAGATGATTTAAGTAAAATGCAGTGGATTCACACCATGAAGTACTGTGTAGCTGTTAAAAGCAATGGATTACAGGTAAATACAGTGTAGCAAGATGGATGAATCTAAAAGTCATAGTAATAAATGAAAACAATAAAAAATGGAATGAGATATAGACACAGTACAATGTAAATAATAAATATATGCACAGAAGACACAATATACATTTTGCAAGAACCCACACAAACAAAAACATACACATTAAACACATCAGAATGGTCTCCTGTACAGAGGAACTGAATGAGAATAGGCCATCTGCATAAAAATAAAAACAAATAAGTAGGTATCATTTCCTCTCAGAAGTCATCATCGGCCACCTTCTCTAACACAGATTGTCTTATTATTTTCTATAAATCTCTTGTTTCTGTTTCCTTCTTAATATTTATCTTGATTTATAGTTATTTTATGTGTTTTTTGATTGCCTCCCTCATAAAATGTATGATTTATGAAGGCAGTATCATGTCAATCTTGTTCATGACAGTATCCTTAGCCTCTCTTACAGTGTTTGGCACATAGTAGGTACTTAATAACTGGTTGTGGAATGAACAAAAGAAGGGTCAAACGAATGAATGAGTAAGTGAGTGAGTAGGAGGAGCTAAGCCCAGAATAAGTAGTTGGTCAAACTTACCAGGCAAAAGGAAATCAATGAAGATTCTGAGTAGGAGAGTGACATGATCAGAGCTGTGCTTGTGAAAGACTAACATGGTAACAACGGGCAGGGTAGACTGGATGGAGGGAAGAAATTGTAACAAATGAGATCAACTGCAATAGTTCAGGCAAGAGATGGTCCAGGGGGCCTACAACAAGGAGATGAAAGTGAAAAGAAAGGCATTGGGAAAGCTGCTGCAAAGGAAGAAATGATTAGACTTGAAAGTGACTGCTAGAGGACTGTGAGAAAAAGGAAGTAAATGATGACTCCACTGTTTTGAGCTCACAATGCCACTAAAGAGAGAAATATTGAGGAATTACTCTTTTGGATAGAAGAGAATGCATATTTGGATATGTTGTGTTCAAGATTAAATATTTATTGAACATTATTTCTAGGCTGTTAAGATAATATCAAGTAAGAAAGACATGATAATTGCCTTCACAAAGCCTGTAAATAGGTGATTAAAATAGCATGATAAAGCAATGATGGAGAAATGTAGGGTGTTAAAAACCTAAAAAACCAAACCCGTTGCCATCGAGTCCATTATGACCTACAGCGACCCTATAGGGCAGAGTAGAACTGCCCCATAAGGTTTCCAGGAAGCTTCTGGTGGATTTGAACTGCGACCTTTTGGTTAGCAGCTGTAGCTCTCAACCACTGCACCACCAGGACTCCTATAGGGTGTTAGGGGAGTGGATAAGCTTGCCAGTAAAGAGTGTGTCATATAAGGTAAAACAAAACAAAATGGATCTAACATGGAATCATTTAAAAATTGAAATTGATCTCAAATCTGTACTTCCTGGAATCAAGTGGGTAGAGGAAAGAGAGATACGAAAACAAAACCTATTCTGAGTCTCCCCCAACCCCCCAATCTATTTTCTCCTTTCTCCAAGATACTCAAGATACATGTAGATTTTTTAGAGTGAACAGATTTTTGATTCCCAACTGAAATGGAAAGCAATCAACAAACACTTGCTTAGTTCATAAGATGATGTGAATTACTATCAAATATATAAACTGGCCAGTTTGATTTTTTTAGCATATTATTCACAGTCAGTTTTATAATATGACAGAATGTTTTTGCTTATTGTTTTATCCAATTTTACATTAGTAAATTATAAATCTCCTAATCAAAAGAAAATTTCCCCAAAAGTCGACAGAAAAAACTTTTAAAAAAAAAAAAAGGTATTTTATAGGTCAAAATTTCTCTGAAATAATTCTAGTTCTTCAGATGGTTTTCTGGGTTTTTGTTATTGTTATTGTTAATATTTGGGGACATACCATCATACGTTCCACTTTCTAACAACGCTCCACTCTCTTCCAGTGCTTTGAACTGCTCAACAGAAATGAAATTATAGTCCACCCCTGGTACTTCCCCATCCCTGGGGGCCCTTGTAGTGCCTAAGGGGAAAAAAAAGAAAAAAAAGGTTGTAAAGTGCTTTTAAACTTACAAAATAGTAATAAAAAATTCAATCTATAGAGAACATATGGGGGAAACAGACTATCAAATATATTATACCTGCTAGAAGGAGGATCAGAATATTTTAGGCAAATTAACATTACTAGCTGAAAGGAGGACAATAAATAACATAGGATGAATAAACTTTAATAAAATTTACAGATGGCCATGAGATTCAAAACTACAAAGACTCCAAAGGAGACTCCAAAGTGCCAAAGTAGGTTTAACTTCCTAACAGACAAGAGTGAATTCTTCCTTTAAAACCCAATTATCACTTAACAATAGGAAGGAGAGATAAATCCACCTCTCATATAATTTATTTTTATGCAGCTATCCTAGGTATTTTCTTCTGAGCATAATTGTAAACTGACATTCTGCTTACTGAAGTCATGAAGGGCACACAAAATGGGAGAAATCATTTTAAAAAGTTCTTTTAGTAAACTTTATTTTCAAAATGTGGACACATACTGATTATGAAATTATTTTAGACTAATGAATGAAAGGCTTAAAATAGGTATTACATATTGCTTCTTAGCTATATTCTCATCAAGTAATTTTAAAAAATTTAAGCAGTAAGTAAACTGTTTTACAAAATTGACTACCACAATAGATGACTAAATTTCTATATATTAAGGAATTCATGCTAAAGTAATATCTTGCAAAGTATAAACTCAGGTTACGGCAGCATTGTTACATTTGACTGAATTTACTAAACAAGAATCACTTTTATGAACTGATATTAGAAATGTCATTTCAAATACTGCAGAATACAAAAACGATCAGGTGTTTAGTCTGAAAATGAAGTTTGGGAATCAGTCTTATGTATCTCTACAAAACTAATGTAGCAAGTCTGGTGCAAGGACACCTCCCAAACCTGTTCCTCCACTTAGGTTTTCTACTCAGTAATGGCATGCCAAGCCAGAAACCTGAGAACCTGTCATCTTGGGCTCCTCCAGCTACTTCACATTCAGTCACCAAATCCAGTTGATTTTACCTCTTAAATAACTCTATAATTTACATACTTCTCCTCATTCTCACACTCACCTAATTCAGATCACTATCTATGCCTTGTGTGGATGGTCTTCCCAGGCCAAACTTTACCTCTTCCCAGCTACATCCAGCACCCAAACTGCAGCCAGTTACCTTGCTAAAACAACAATCTGAGCAAAAACAAAACCTGTCTAAACCTATTAGTGACTTTCCATCACCCTGAGCATAAAATCCACACTATAACATAACAGCAGCCCTGGTGGTGCAGTGGTTAAAGCACTCTGCTGCTAACAAAAAGGTTGGCAGTTTGAACCCACCAGCCACTTCAGGAAAAGGATGTGGCAGTCTGTTTCCATAAAGATTACAGCCTTAGAAACCATATAGGGCAGTTCTACTATGTCCTATAGGATTGCTGAAAGTCAGAAAGGACTCGATGGCAGTGGGATAACAACACAGCTTACAAGGCCCTTGGCTACCTCTTCAGCTTCTTTCTTGAGTTACCCTTTTCACATTCTAGGCTTCAGCCATGATAGATTTTTTTTTTTTTTAATTCTTTTAATGTTGCTTGAACTCACTTGGAGCCCTAGTGGCACAGTGGTAAAGAGTTTGGCTGCTAAGCAAAAGGTCAGCAGTTTGAATCCACCAGCTCCTCCTTGGAAACTCTATATGGCAATTCTACTTTGTCCTATAGGGTCACTGAGTCAGAATCAACTCCCCGGCAACAGGTTGAACTCACTTACCTCTAGGGACTTTGCCCAAGTCATTTTCTTTCCCCGGAAGACTTCCTATTCCCATTCTTACTCTTACCTCAGCTAACTCCTATACTCATCCTTCAAGTCCTAACTTAGAAAGTTTCTTTAGAGAACCTTCTCACACTCCCACCATAGGGTACTGCGATATGCAGGGAACATGTCTAACTGGTTCAGAGTAATAGTCCAAGTCTAGGCACAGTCAAGGATCATAGTAGATACTCAATAGAAAAACAAAACCACAACCCAAACTTGTTGCTGTTGAGTGGATTCTGACTCATAGCGACCCTACAGGACAGAGTATAACTGCCCCATAGGGTTTCCAAGGAGCAGCTGGTGGATTCGAACTGCAGACCTTTTGGTTAGCAATTGAGCTCTTAACCACTGAGCTACCAGGACTCCAGTAGTCAGTATAGATAGTGGTAACTAAATTAAGTGAAATTGTATACAAATTCAATTAGCACAGTGGCTGGCAACATGCCATTATTATTATCATAAATTAATTCATGGGCAACTCTTTTTTTTTTTTTTGGTGTCAGAAAATGTGAATTTTTTTTTTTTTATTGTACTTCAGGTGAAGGCTTACAGAACAAATAGTTTCTCATGAAACAGTAGTACATGTATTGCCCTATGACATTGGTTAACAACCCCACAAATGTCAACCCTCTAACTTCTCAACCTTTTTTTTTGGTGAAAATACACAGCCAAAGATACACCATTTCAAAAATTTCTGCATGCACAGTTCAGTGACACTGACTACACTCTTCCAATTGTGCTGTTATTCTCACTTAAGATGAAGGCTTACAGAACAAAACAGTTTCTCATTTAACAGTTACTACACATGTTGCCCTATGACAATGGTCAACAATCTCACAACACATCAGCAATATCCTTACTCAACCCTGGGTTCCCTATCACCAGCTTCCTTGTCCCCTTCTGACTTCTGGCCCTTGTCACTGGATTACTGTACCTCATTAGTCCCATTTGGTTTTACGGGGCTGTCCACTCCCAGGCTGAACAGTGAAACCTCGGAGGTAACTTCACCACTGAGCTAAAAGGGTGTCTGGGGGCCATACTCTCGGGGTTTCTCCAGTCTCCTTTAGGCCAGTAAATCTGGTCTTTTTTTTGTGAGTTAGAATTATGCTCTACATCCTTCTCCAGCTCTGTCCAGAACCCTCTGTTGTGATCCTGGTCAGAGCAGTCAGTGGTGGTAGCCGGGCACCATCTAGCTGTACTGGACTCAGTCCAGTGGAGGCCTCCGGACTAATCTTTTCCTTGTATCCTGTTCTCTTCATTCTCCCTTGCTCCCGAAGGGATAAGACCAGTGGAGTGTCTTAGATGGTTGCTCATAGGCTTTTAAGACCCCAGACACTACTCACCAAGGTAGAATGTAGAACATTGTCTTTATAAACTGCGTTATGCCAATTGAGCTAGATGTTCCCCGAGACCATGGTCCCATGGGCAACTCTTAATTGCTCACATTTTTTTAGTTGTGGAGCCCTGGGCTTCCTTACATGGTGAGGAAGAGACACCATCAATAGAGAGCCTGAGCCAACAAACAGCACCAAGGTCCCAGACATGTGAGCGAGGTCATCTTAAACCCTTCAGCCCCAGTCCAGCTGCCAATGATTGCAGCCATATGAGTGGCCCCAGCTGAGCCCAGACAACTCAGAGAATCATGAGAAAAATATATAGTGGTTATTTAAAGCCACTAAGTTTTAGGGGTGGTCTGTTACGCAGCAAAGGCCAACTGAAATATTATCTAAGCAAACTCTACTATAAAATATAATGGATATATAAAATCCAGTTTAAGAGCAAACCATATTATAAGTACTATGAAAATAGCACTGACCCAAGGGGCAGAACAAACTTTCTTTTAGTCTTGATTTATTATTAATAGTGTAATTTTGAGCAAGCACTTAACGTCTCTGGGCTTTATTCTCTTTCTGCAAAGTGATGTTGAGCAACATGGGTGTTATGGGTTGAATCATGTAACCCAAAAAGGTATGTTGAAGTCCTAACCCTCAGTAGCTGTGAATGTGACCTTATTTGGAAATAGAGTCCTTGCAGATGTAATTAGTCAAGATAATATCATTAGGGTGGGCCTTTATCTCTTTATGACGTGTATCCTTATAAGAAGAGGAGAAGAGACACACAGAAGACGGCCAAGTGGTAGCAAAGGCAGACATTTGTCAAGCTGCCACAAGCCAAGGAAAACCTGGGGCCATCAGAAGCTGGGAGAGACAAGAAAGGGTTTTCTAGAGCATGGGCCTGCCAACACTCTGAGTTCAGACTTTGAGCCTACAGAACCGTGAGACAATAAATTTCTGTTGGTTTAGGCCACATAGTTTGTGGTAATTTGTTACAGCAGCTTATACAATGACGTTCACGATTCCTACCATTAATAGATATGAAATGTTATGTATGATTCCAACATACACATTTCTAAGACTTACAAAATAGCTTTAATTTTAATTCTTTAGAAATATTATAAATTTTCACTTTCTCCCCTTGAAACCACATACACCTACACACATAAAAAGTTCTCCTCACTACTTTCAGCATTCCAGAAATGCTATCTTTATATTTATTCTCCTGATATTCTACATACTTTATGTAAAGCTCTCTACATCACCTCCAGTTATTACCCCATTTCTCCTTTTTGCATAAGAATTCATTCAAAGAGTTCTATTTACTCGTTGACTCTAATTCCTTTCCTCTTATTCTTTCTTGAGCCCATTCCAATTACACTGTGACCCCAGCCACTTCACTGAGGCAGTTTGCTATGTTCATCAGTAGTCTGCACCTTGCTTAACCCAATGGTCAAATCTCAGTCCTCACCATTTGACATAGTGATCATTACCTGCCTTATGTTTTATCCTGAAATATAACATACAAAAAAAGTACATAAAACATAAATGTAAAGTTTAAAAAATAATAACAAAGCAAACACACCCAAATGAAAAATCAGAACATTACCAGAACCTCGAAACTCCCTTGTGTGCTTCTGATCATAAATCTCTCTCTTCTCCACCCCTAGAAGTAACCGCCATCTTACCACATTTATGATGATTATTTTCTTTATGGATTTACCAACTAAATATGTATTCCTAAGCAACATAGCTTAGTTTTACCTGTTTGTTTTTTAACTTCATATGAATGGAATCATACCACACTCATCCTTCTGTGTCTTCACCAATACT